GCTGCCCTGAAAGAGCCCCAAGGAAGCCCCAAGACGCCAGATGGGCGCCTCCCCAGTGTTCTCCCAATGGCTTCACCAAAGGCTCGGGGATCCCGCAGTCCACCAGCGTAGCCGCACTTTCTTTCGACATTTCACGGCACAAGCGTTTCCAAAAGCCAGGAGGCGGCGGCGATTCTCCGTAGGCGTCTTGGATAACTGAGCCAGCTTGTCCGTGGACCTCAACGCCTCCAAACAAATGCAGCAGCGCTCAGTGTCGACATCGTTGCCCCACACGTACGGCAGCTGCACCAACACTTTCAAAATCGGCTCAGTAGTGTCGGCCATGGACGTGCTTCGAGCGGGTGTAGGTGACCCAGGTCGCAAACTCCGTACAAAACCGAATGAGCCACTGTATTCGCCAAGCTCTCGAACTAGCACCGATATCTGGTCGTGCCAGCTGTGACTACGTGGCACCTGCAGGACACGAAGAGTGTGCTTGCCTGTCTCACTGAGCTTTTGCACAACCCCCCAGTAATCGAAGGCACCATCAGTTTCAAGAATTATGTGCCCTGGGCGCAGTGGATTGGCGGCATTCTGCCTATTCCACTCAGGTATCACACCAGAGCTACCAAGACCCAATATGATTGGGCCGCACTGGTCACCGCGAACGTTTCCGACATCAACGCCTAGTTGAGACCTTTCGTCCTTCTGAATGGTAAGCGTTGCGATGTTCCACCCCTCGGGCATCGCGGAGCAGACAGGCTGCGGAACACGGAGCAGATGCTGGAGCCCCCCTTGGGTATGCTGCCTCGGAGCGCCAGACTCGGGCGGGCTGAAACTGTGTTCAGTGCCACGCCGCGTCGGAGGACGTGTTTCTCTGGTGCGCACGGCACTCTGCTCAGGCGGCTGTTGTTGGAAGCTCACCTTGCGAGCCATCGTTGCTGGAATTGTTCGCTACAGTAGGGGCGTTGACCTAAGGAACCCTACATAAGGAACGAGGCCCTTTTTTCCATAAGTTACCCTTCGATTTCCTGTCGAAAACATAAGGAGAGCCTGAGGCAAGCTGTGAAACACTTAGGGAACGCGGAGCCCCTCCCCAACGAAAAGGGTAGGGTTCCTTCTTCAGGGCCCCGACTGTATCGCCTTTCCCGGCGAGACCGGCCACCAAACCTGAAACGTATGGGAAGGCTTGAGCCAGAGCGTCTCTGGAGAGACCAGCTTGGGGGCACATTGGAGCCTCCTTCAACTGTCCTTGCCTTCTGGACCTCTATTGGGAGACCTCCCGGGCCCAAGCAGTCATGGCCCAAAACACGCAGCCCGTAGTGGGCCAGCCTCACGAGGACGAGGCCGAGGTCGAAGCGCATCCTAAACTAGAATACATAATGCTGTGCTAGACTCGCTTGGGTTAGGCCAGCCTTGGCAAGGCTGACCAAAGCCAGTCTAAATCAACACCCCCCACGCACAACTTTCGCTCAGGGATTCTCGCTTGGGTTGGATTTCTCGGGGTGGCAAAACAGAGCAGTACCTGCGCGCACGGTCCCTGCATAGTCTCCCCTGCACGGATGAGACCGCGCTCCGACGCCCCCCCACCGCTGCGATCCCCCATCTCTGCTGTCGCGAGGGTACCACGCCTGCCCTGCGCGCATGGCAGCTGACGATCCCGCGATCCGACACCACCTCTGCGCCTCCCCCCTCCCCCCCATTTGTCGAGGGGCGAGAAACTGCCACGCCTGCAGCGCCCTGCGCACATGGCACGGATGGAGACCGCGCTCCGAGAACACCCCCTCTGGTGCCGAGATGGTGTCACGCCTGCCACGCCCCCGTGCTCATGTGGGCGCGTGTATCACGTGTGGTCTGTCCGTGTGCGTGCGCCTGGAGTGCTGTCTGAAGCGTGCGCAGGCGAAAGGGGGAAGGTATGGTTCCCTCAGAAACTTGTCTGTACGGATGAGATATAGCTTCTCTAGAGGACTAATGAATGCGTTGCCATCTGTGGAATCGGTCGGGCCACTTCGTCTCTCCTTGCCCGCCGTTGCTTTCCGTGGCCTCACATTGCCTACCGTTGCCTCCCATTGCCTCCCGTGACCTTCCCTTGCTTCCCGTGCCCTCACGTTGCCTCCCGTTGCTTCCCGTGTCCTCCCGTTGCCCGTCGTGGCCTCCCATTGCCGTCTTTATCCATATTCCTATCCCTGTAGACCTACCCAAAACATCTGTTATTTCAACCCATCTACTATATCCCTGTCCCTATCCCCGCCCCGATCCCCATCCCTACCCTGTAGCCCTATCCCTACCTCCCTAGCCCTGTATGCCTATTCATACCCCTATCCCTAACCTTATCCCGATCCCCCCATCGTGTCCCCCCACTGCGATCACCCATCATGGCCACCATCGTAACTGTGCAAGGCTGTTTAGGGTCTTCTGCTGCAAGGCTGTCATGTGCTGTCTAAGGCATGCGCGGGTGAGAATGAGAGGGAGGATGTGGGGTAGCTGCAACTTCCAGTCCTGAAGGGCCCTCCCCCGCGGGGGCGCGGAGGTAGGAACCAGGAAAGGCGACACCAACACCACCAGGGCTCGGAGATGCCAGGAGGCAAGGGGGGTCTCCCTGGTGGTGTGGCCCCCCCCTCTCGCTCGAGACATCCCCCGCCTCCAGCTCCGGGAGGCACCGTGGACCTCCTGGCCGGAGGTGGCCCCCCTGGTGGCGTCGGTGTCGCTCCCCCTCCCTCGGTCCGAGGAGGGCGCCCGCGCCTCCTCGAGCGCGCGCTGGGCGCCGAGGAGGCACGGGCTGCCGTGGCACGAGGGGGGAGGAGGAGGAGGAGGAGGAGGAGGAGGAGGAGGAGGAGGAGGAGGAGGAGGAGGAGGAGGAGGAGAGGGAGGAGGAGGAGGAGGCGGAGGAGGAGGAGGAGGAGGGCGGAGGCGGAGGCGGAGGCGGAGGCGAGGCGGAGGAGGAGGAGGAGGAGGAGGAGGGAGGAGGAGGAGGAGGAGGAGGAGGAGGAGGAGGAGGAGGAGGGGGGGGGGAGGGGGGGCCCCCTGGCGGGGGCCGGGCACGGCAGAGCGCGCCTCTGCGCCGCGGCTCCGACGGCGGCGCGGCGCCCGCGTGACGAGCCGTGCTCCCGCCCCGGGCGCCCGGAGGGACGCCGGGGGCCGCGGGGGAGCCGCCCGCAGCCCCGGAGTCCACCGAGAACCCCTGCCGTTGCACGCTGGGCCTGGAGAAGGAGCCGAACTCCATGCGCCGACGCGCGGACGACGCCGAGGTGCCCAGGGCGTTCTGTGCGGCGTGCGGGGCGAGGGTCGCCGAATCCTCACCCCAGGGCCTGGCGAACGCTGCCTGGGCGTTCGCGAGGCTCCGCTCGGAGGGGACTGCCTTCGTCGCGGCCGTGCACGCCGAGGCGGTCCGGGGGGGGCCTCCGCGAGCTCTGGCCTCGCGCTGGATCTCGCACAGGAGAGCGGATCCTGGTCTACTAGGGGATCCTGGTGTAGACGCTCTTCGTCGTTTCCCCGGGAAGACGGGGAAAAAAAGTATACACCACACCCGATATCGTCCCCGACCCTCAAAAAAGTCCTGGGGTTGAAAAACCTCCCGCCACTGGTAATGTATATGCTCCAGTTTCCGACTAGAGCCTAGAGCTGGAGAGCATGCCGTGGAAGCGCGCGCGAGCGCGCATGCTGCGTGGCAGCGAATCCATCAAGACGCGACGGCATTCTCCGATGCGACGAGTTCGCCGCGCTTGCCAGGTCTCCTCCCCCTTGATCGGAGGCGAGAGGGTGTGATCGCAGTGAAACGGAGAGCCCCCCGCTGGGAAACTGGTTTCGGTTTCGTGTTCGTGTCGTGCGGGCGGAGCGAAGCTGCGTAGGCGGGCGATGGGAAAGAACCATCCTCTGGCCAGGGCGCCGCCAGGACAAAAGACCGTCCACCACCCCCGCGTTGTCATGCCGTGGCCAGGGGTGTCTGGCGGGTGTCCCTCTGGTGTCCCGTCGGCGTCCCGTCGGTGTCACGTCGGTGCCCCGTCGGTGTTCCGTAGTGAAATCGATAGTGAGATAGATAGTGAGACCGATAGTGAGAAAGATAGATAGATCGATAGTGAGTTCGATAGTGAGATGAATGTTCAGATCGATCGCGAGATCGATAGTAAGATCGACTGTGAGATCGATCGTGAGATCGATAGTGAGATCGTTGGTGAGATTGACAGTGTGATCGATAGTGAGATCACCAATTATATCGATTGTGGGATCGGTAGTGTGATCGATAGTGCTACGGATAGTGATACCGATAGTGAGACCGATAGTGAGATCGATAGTGATATCGATAGTGGGATCGATACTGGGATACATTAGATGAGACGTCGGTGCCTCCCCCCGAACTTCTTTATCTACCGAAGGGTGGACGTATAGATATCAGTGTATGTCTTATTCGCGCCAGTGATGCCTCTGGTCCAGCGCTTCGAGACATTCACCAAGCTCTTCAAACTCTCGAGCGTCACCCAAATGAGTTCGCCGCGTCCGAAGCTTTGTGCGCTCTCCGAACTGTTGCACGACGTCTTTGTTGGCCTGCGCGCGCCGTTCAGGGCGCTGCGTGACGAGGGAGCAGTCCAAACCCGCGACCCCGCAACGCTGCGAGCCGTCACCCATGTCCAGGTAGGACCAAGGCTACGCTAACAGCGATGTTCGCTAATGACGATGTTGGGAATATGGCTATTGCGACGCCGACATCGTACAGAAAAATAGCAGGAACACGCGGACAACGCTTTCAAACAACTGGGCTGGCCGCGAACCACCCCTACCTACAACACCGAAACCCACATCGCCATTGCCTACATCGCCGTTGGCGTGTCTGCGGGTCCAGGCAGGAGGTCAGCTGGTCCTCGTGCGCGGTGCCGTGTGCCTGAAGGGTCTCCCGAGCCTCTGCTCGGCAACGTCCGTCCATCGAGCCCGGGGCCAGTGAGTCGCCGCCGAGGCTGCGGCGGGCAGAGCCCTCCGAGTGGCGCGCGGGCGGGGCCTCTGTCTTCTGGGCGAGTGCCCTACGGCCCTCACAGCGTCTGGAAGTCTGCCGGGCGGCCGCCGGTGAGCTCTGCGCTCCGCAACCCCTCGGGCGAGGCGCGAGGTCTGCGAGTACAAAAGCGTATGGTCTCTGTGGCCGGCCGGTGGCGATCCACATGCGCGGGGGGCGGTGCCGCAGTGGGCGTTCACAAGCGTCGTGCAAATGTGCACGCAAGCCTCGCCCTGGCGGCCACTCGGAAAGCGACACGCCGCCTCGTCGCCTTCAAGCCCGCGAGTGAGGCGATCGATCGCGCCGATGATCAGGACAGGCGCGAAGCGGCTCGGTGTCTGTAAAATCTCCTGGTCGGCCCGCGCGGCGACTTTCATCGCGGCACCCCACCGTTGGGGGCGGTGGATGAGCACTTGCGTTCCCAGGGGGCTGTAGGGGGGCATGCGACGATGGCATTCAGCTCGGGGGTGCCCTGGTCAATTGCGACGTTGTTACCTCTTCCCGATGTGTCACTTGGGGGGCATTGAATGTCCACAGTGCGTTGCTGCAAAGCGCGTCACGAGCAGGATCGAGTAGCCAACTGAGGCCGCATCCGAAGTGCATAGGCGGCGCACTTCCTCGCCTCGGGCACTCAGCAGAATGACAAGGCTGAAGGCGGTGAGCGAAAGAAAAACCGTTCGAACCATCGTCCGCGGCCTCCTCAGGAGAACAGCCGCGATGGCGCCGTCGGCCTGGGGCTCGCCTGCGGCGCGCTCCCGCCGGCCTCGCGGATACCGCTTCAGCACAGAAGCCCCAGACAATGAGTTCTTGCACTTTGCATACGTCTCCTACGAAGTGCCAACGACGCGTTGCAACCTACGTATGGCGCAGTCAAATTCAAAAGCTCGAAACCGCTAAATCCAATGAACAGGCAAACCTCCCACCCGCCCTCCCACAATGTGCTGGCATTGCTCGAGGCGCTGGGAGTGCCGCTAATTACCTATCGGAACTTGTTTCCAAACCCCTACGACACAGTGGCACGCGGACATTTGCTGGCGCAGACCCATGACTCGGGCGGGCCAGCGTCAGTGCTGTCAGTGGGGTATGAAGGACCTCCGTTTTGGGAAGTCCAATGATCTTTACTGATTGAAATAGCTAGGTGTTGCCATGTGTCGGAAGGAAGTGATGGCTGTATGCTTTCGACATGCACGCGCGAGGGCGCACGCGCGCGCGCGTGTGGCCCGCTTGGTGATTTCCGTTGGCAAGAACGTCAACAACCGTTCGAGTTCTTAAACTTCTACCCGACGCGCGTGCGCTCCTCAAAAGCAACCTGTTTTCCACATGTTGCTGAAGAGCTCTCTGTTGAAGCACTAAAGCGGATTGGAGGGTTTGAGCAAATTTCGGCATGGGCGCGCAGGGGACGCGCGCGCATGGCTCGCATGGAGAGACGTTATGGAAATGATTATACGCCGCGCTTGCTGGCTCAACGCGCGCACACAGCGTGCAATCATTTGACACGGACGACGGGAAGAGCCAACGCCGGCCTGCAGAGGATGGCACTGTTTCACATGTAGACGAACGGTCGCACGGAAACCATACGAAAACACACAGCGGAAAGGTACTGTTAACCCCAGCATCGGCACGGGGGTCAAGCCTAATCTTCTTCCGGAGCAGGAACCGGCGGCGCACCAAATTTGAGGAGCGCGAAGTCATCGACCCCAATGCTCAAGTCGGGCCTGTCCCTCTACACGAGGAACATTCAATAGCCTGGGGGCTATTTTTGAGTATGTTTCGACCATTTGGGGCTAATTTTTGACTAGTTTGTATGTTTCAATTTTGGGGTAACTTTTGACTATTTTCCATCTGTTTTGAACAGTTGTTGACTATTGTAGGGGGTATGTTTTGATGATTCTTTATTTCTCTTTCAAAATCCCCCTGTAGGAGAACAGGCCCGACTTTAACCCAATGCCCGAGCCCACGCCCAGGCCCTTCCCCGCCCGCAGCACGCCGGCAGACGACGCGCGCGGCCGCGAGCGGCGCCGGTGCCTGCAGAGTTTTGTGTAGGCTCTTCCCTGCAGGCGCAGCACGACGCGCGGACCACTCTCATGCAGAGGTTGGGGGTACTTTAGTAGTGGAAATAATTGGTTTTCAAAATGTTTGGTCTTTAGAAGCTCTGCGTGGCGACGCCCCCGTCGCCACGCGTGCCCTCTGCGTGCCTGCGGGGGCGCTGCCACGTAGAAGTACTGGAAAGCGAGCATTTGGGGCGTCGCTACGCACGCCCTCTGCGTGGCTGCGACCATTTGTTAAAACCCTAAAACCAATTAAATTCACTAATACAGTAACATCAAGGGCTCCCAACTTGGCGCTTCGCGCTCTCGCGCTGCGCGAAGCGCGAAGTGCGCATAGCTTCGCGCTCTCCCGCAGCCTCCCACATGAGAAGAGGAGGATGAGGAGGAATCGGAGCCGAACCGCGGAGCGCGAAGCACTTCGCGCCCTCGAAGGCGCCCTTGAATATGGAGTCATTGTCCCTGCATCACCACTGGTTTTGCAATGCGTTTGAAATTCTCTGGCCTGAACGCTTCCAGCACACGTGGACTTGATTTGGGACCCCGGTTCACGCTGGTTTCGTCAGGTCTGCTCGGAAAGGCGGCCTGGTCGTCGAGACCAGGGCAGTGCACGGGCAGAAGCAGGCTTGACGTCCAAGCGGCAAGCTGGTGCTGGCCACAGAGGTTGCGACTTCCAGAACACATGGACTTCGAATGATTTCGAAAAGTGCGCGCAGGGGGGCGCGCGCGCGCGCGGCCCGCATTATCGCATGGAGCAAAGATGGCGGGTGCACATAAGCATTCATGAGTTTAACAAGTGCGCGCCTATTGTTAGAAAGATCTCGACAGGCGCGCGAGGCGGCGCGCGCGTGGGCCGCGTGGTCTCACTTGACAAGGGCGGCAGGAAACGGATGGCTCTAATGATGTTAGCACGTGCGCGGAGAAACTTTAGCACTTTTTGTTTAGGAAAGCAGAGGCTGTATTGCTGTATTGGTTTTGCGAGCTGTATATTGCCATGCTGAGAGCTCGCATGGTTTGCAATGAATTAGACTTGGGCGCGCAGGGGGGGCGGGCGTGGCCAGCAACCGCATTTTCTTGATCAACGCGTGCGCACCGCATTGTAGCATGTGTGTCGGTAGTGACCGGCCTGGGATGGAGCGACTTCACGCGTAGAATGAACGATCGAGCATCGTAGACCTAAAAACAACTGCCTAGAGGGAGCCAGGAGGTAAGGTCAACATTTCTCTGGGAGGAACCCATATTCCCGAAACTGTGCTTGCACTCAAGGGTTCTTGCGTGTCCTCTAAGGGCCTGGGCCGTGTCGTACGTCTGGCGGCTATGTACTCGCTGTCGCCGCCCCGTCACCGCCTCGTCGCCGCCCGTCGTCTGGGCCGCGTCGTCGGTTTGGCGGCTATGTACTTGCCGTCACCGCCCCGTCGCTGCCCCATCGCCGCCCGTCACCTGGGCCGTTTCGTCGGTCTGGCGGCTATGTACTCACCGTCGCCGCCACGTGGCCGCCTCGTCGCCTCACCGCCGCCCCGCATAGATTGTAACTCATAGACTTCACCGCATAGGCCAAACAATCTATATATAGCTGTGTATATATATATACATATTACACCACATGTATTGCAACGAATATGTTGCACCACACGTTTTGAACCACATGGATTGCATCACATCGATCGTACCACATATTTTGCTGCACCACATAGATTGCACCGCACAGATTGCACCACATCGATTGCACCACATGGATTGCACAATGCATGTTGCACCACAGAGGTTGCGCAAGGTAGAGCGCACGACTTGCAGTGCAAGACGAACATGGCACAACATGGATCGCACCCCACATAGGCTGCACCGCATGAGCTGCACCACAGACACTGCACCGCAGATATTGCACGAGGTAGGTTGCTCCACGTAGGTTGCACAGCATAGCTTGCCAGCTGCACCGCGTGAGGGCTCGGAAACACGCAGGCCGCCGCACGGGGGCAGAGGCGAGGCGGCGACGGGCGGCCTCTGGGCCGCAAGGCGGGGTAGTGGCGGCCCAGCGCGCAGGGGCGGCGACGCGGCGGCGAGGGGGCGCCCACCGCGCGAAGAAACTTGGAAACGCCAGCCACGGCAGGGTGCGGCGACAAAATTCGGGTCGGGCGAAAGTGGGGGATAGCAAAGGGGGGATTGAAAATCAGCTCACGTGGCTGATTTTCTCGGCGCCTCCCGGCGCCGGAGGCGACTATGTATCGAGGAATGGGCCCCTCGGTGAGGCCGAAACCAGCTGCACGCAGCAAATGGTGTACCCCCCCCTTTCCCAAGCCCCTCCTTTCGCCCGGCCCGAAAAATGGCGGCGGCCGCCCACCGTGCAGAAACCCGGAAGCGCCAGCCAGCGCTCAGCGCGGCGACGAGGCGGCCACGGGCGGCGGCCACCGAGTTTTTCTTGGAAAACGAATAAGAACACCGAAGCGCAAACGCTGAGCTAAGGATGCGTCGGTGATTCTGCGTGCTTTGATCTGTCTCCTCTCGTGCTCGATGCACGTGCTTCTGCGTGGGCTCTCTCTTCTCAGTGTGAGCTGTGTATGCACGCTGTCTTCGCCTGCTCTTCATGCCATGCTCTGCTTCGCACTGCATGCTCGATCCTTTGTGCTGTCTGACGGGCGGCGACCGTGCGAGCATCGGGAAGCGGCAGCGAGGCGAAGGGCGGCGGCCAGGGGCAGAATGGCAAGCACCAACGCACGGGGCGGCGACGGGGCCACGGCGGGCGGCGGCCGGGCGAGCGCCCGAACAAAAAAAAAAACAGCCAGGGCACTGGGCAGCGGCGGGCAGCGACCTGGCGAAAACTCGGAACGGCGCGGCAACGCGGCGACAAGTGGCGAAGCGCGAAGCGAAGCAGCCATACGCAAAGCACGCGTGGGCAAGACAATTGGCGAGCGTGCGAGCTACGCCAAACGCGCCAGCTGGCGGACAGGAGGCGCCAAACGCGCGACAAGACAGACAGCAACGCCAAACGGGCGCAAACGCGCGCCAAACGCGGCGACGAGTGGCGACCAACCGAAAACACCTCATGAGTGAAACACTGCGGAACATACTAGTATACATACGTGTGCTGGCCCGCGTGGGCCCGAAACAGTGTGTCTCTACCAGTATGTGTTGTGAAGGCTGTGTTGTGCAATCTGTGCGGTGCGATCTGCGTAGTGCCCTGGTGTGTGCACCTGTTGTGTGAAATCTATGTTGTGCCATATGTGTTGCGAAATGTGGTGCAATCTATGTAGTGCGGTCTATGTGGTAGGATATTTGCTGTGCTGCGTGAAGCAGTAAATACGGTGCAATGTATGTGGTCAAATGTATGCGGTACACTCCAGATTCTTGTGCAAGGTACGTAGGGCAAATTATGACTTGTAATATATCTGCTACAATATACGTTGTTCTTTGCAAACTATGTGCTACAGTGTGTGTGTGTGCGCATGACGTATGCATCATGTCATAGGTGCAAGATATCAGTGAGATGTTTGCTAACGAGAACGAGTTGTTGCATTCTGGGTGTGTAACGCGGTGTACACGCTATGTGGCGCCAGCTATGTGATGAACACTGTGTGGCGCAACATGTGGTGAAATATACGTGGTCTGATTTAAATGCTGCACTCTATGTGGTGCACGCTGTGTCGTGGACGATCGGTGGTGACAGCTATGCAGTGCAAGCTATGGGGTGCAAACTATGCGGCGCAATCATGTGCAATCTATGCGGGGTAGACGATGACATGCAAACTACGTGGTGCAAGCTATGTGAGGTAAACCGTGTGGTACATGCTATGTAGTGTAAGCTATATGTTACTATATGCAGCAAGCCGCGCCGTGCAAGGTACATGGTGCAAGCTGTGTGGTGCAAGCTACGCATTGCAAATAATCACTTGCTCAACTTGAAGCTGTCCTCTCCACTGCTCGTGCCAACATCCCACCCTCCCACCCGCCATTTGGTCGCAAGACCCCTTGGGACCGTGACGGTAGGTGCCAAATGGCACTTGGCAACGACACCGACGCCGACAACGGCAGCGACAACGAGGACGACGACGACGCCACCGACACCGACTACGACGACACCGACGGCATCTCCAACGACTTCGACGACGACGACAACGACGACGACGACAGCGACGACGACGACGCCGACGCCGACGACGACGATGACAACGCCGACGACAACGACGACGCCACAACGACGACGGCGACGGCGACGACGAAAACGACGACGCCGACGCCGACGACGACGACGCCGAAGACGACGACGACGAAGACGACGACGACGACGTCGCCAACGAAGACGGCGACGACGACGAGGGAGGAGGGAGGACGACGACGGCGACAACGACGACAACGACGAGGGAGGAGGGAGGACGGCGACGACGCAAACGACGAAGAAGGAGGGAGGACGGCGACGCCGACGACGACAACGACGAGGGAGAAGGGAAGATGACGACGACAATGACGACGACGACGACGACGACGACGACGGCGACGAAATAGGAGGGACGACGACGAGACGCCGACGACGGACGACGACGACGACGAGGGAGGAGGAAGGACGACCACGGCGGCAACGAAGACGGAAACGACGACGACGCCAAAGACGACGACGACGAGGAAAGACAGAGGACGACGACGGCGGCGACGACGACGACGACGAAGGAGGAGGGACGACGACGACGACGACGACGACGCAAGAGCGAGTGCGCACGTTTTTGTTGAAAATCCGTGTTGCGAAACCCTGTGTTTTTGTATGTGTTTGGGGAACTCGATTTTGAAGCCCTTCGAAACCGAAGGTTTTTGAAGGATTTCGGCATGCACGCGCGACGACGCGCGCGTCTGCACTTCGTCCCGTGTTTTTGCAAGGGATTCTTGGAAACAAAAGATTTTTGATAAACGAGTGTGCGCGCATATTATTGTTTGCAAGGGAACCGAGAGGGGGTCGATACTGGCTTGGCTGGGATAGTATGAGTTCACAAGTCGGATGAACATTGGGTCAGAATCCTAATTGTGTTTTGAATCGGCTCCTGAGGGGTCTTTAAGTCCGGGGAGGGGTGGGTGGTAGAACTTATTTCTTGAGCAGGGACCGACCGTCCCGGCATCCCTATTGTCCTACCACGAAATGTTCTTAGAACCCAGAAATGTTCTAAGAACCAAAACAGTGCTCTTAGAACATAAACCTCATGCGCTGAAGCAGGACAGTCCCAGCCAGCAGTGCTCTGAGAACTCTCGTGGCAACCACAACAGGTTCTCAGGGCATTGCTTGGTAGGGCTATATGCACGGCGGGATGATTCGCTCCTGCTTGCAATGTTTTTTAAGAGAGGAGGATCTATGTGGTGCAGGCGCACGGGCGGCCACAAAGCAACCACGAGAGGGCCACTGTTGTGGCGACGGGCGGCCACGCGCCAGCGCCGAGCCGGCGACCAGGCGGAGATCCGGAAAAGCGCCGGGCAGCGAACGAGGCGGCAACGAGGCGACCATTGGCGGCGGCGAGTGTCTCGCGAAACCCATAGGACCCCCTACGGTGCGGGCTCGGCCGCAAGAACCCCTCGCAAGAAGCCCAACCCTCAGAACCCGTGCGCGAGGTACACCTGAGGGGAAGCCCGGAGTGCCCTGAACGCAGCAGCTCCTTCAACGGCTGCGGGAAGTCACCGCGCAGCGCGAGGAGCGAAGAAACCCAGGATACCCTGACGAAGAGCATATGGTTTCTTGATGCGCGCTCCCACTGTAAGTACAAGCACTGATCGGATAATCATGTGCTCATTAGTCATGGCGTTGTACATCTCCTCCCGCGTTCGGTGTACAACTGTGTGACGTCGACTCTGATTTGTCCGTCGTGGGCCTCATGTGTGAGTGTGGTCGTTGTCTGGTCTTCTTTACGTGTGCTATTTCCCATTGCTGTGTTTGCTTATGTTCGCTGCGCAATCATGATGTTATTGCTGTTCTGCGTGCATGTGGCTTGTCATGTGGGCCTGTAATCGGTTGTGCTGTCGCTCGCCGAAGACGCGAGGCGGGTCCCACTAGGAACGATCGGGGACTGCTGGGGCCTGGCGGCCGCGGTATGCGGGGCTAGCAGACCGGGAGGAAGCTCTTCAACCCTAGATCGAGCACCTCCAACAGGTCTCGGGTGGGGCGAAAGGGGGGGATAGCAAAGGGGGGGTTTGAGAATCAGCTCACGTAGCTGATTTTCAAGGCGCCTCCCGGCGCCGGGAGGCGGCCATGTATCGAGGAATGGGCCCCTCGGTGGGGCCGAAACCAGCTGCATGCAGCAGATTTCGTAACCCCCCCCTTTCCCAATCCCCCCCTTTCGTCCCTCCCGAATGTCGGATGGGGGAAATAATAAGGGCAACTCAGAGGAAAACTAGTCAAGGCCGAACTGATGATGCACTGGGTTAGCCAGACCAGCCTAAGCTGAACTAGCGCAAAAGCACACATGTTTAACTGGGCAGCTGGACCAAGACCAGCTGTGCTATACGTGGTGAAACGCTGAGCTCCATCGCTGTCGAACGAGAACGGTGCACTGGTCACAGCGGCGGTGGGTGATTCTTCAAGTGGTGATGCAGCCAGAGTGGCCTCCTGCGCAGACGCGGACTTCGCCTCCGCCCAGTCGGCGAGAGTGGGCTTCGCCTGCGCGCGCGTCAGCCCTCCTCCATCCATCACTCCCTGCCGCCTCGTTCCCCTCGCCGCTCCCTGTCCCTGCCCCCCTCCTCACCGTGCCTTCTCCCTCCCTCCTCCGCCTCACACCTCCCTTTGCCGAGGCCCCGCGACCCGCTCTCCAAGGCGCCGTTGAGCCTCCCAGGTGACCCAGCTTTTCCCGTCCGCTGCCCCCCCCCCCACCCACGCCTCCAGCCCCCCCCCCCTGAGACGCGAGGAGAAACGAGGAACGACCGCGAGGCGTGCGCGGACAAATTCACGCCGCCGGCACACGGAGCTGCCATCCAGCAAGCTGGCCGGTGGTATTTGCTCTCGGCGGCTGGCAGGCAAGCGGAAGCATGCCCCCTGTTTTGCATGCACACTGTATGGGGGCAACACGACCGGACGCGGCAGCAGCGCGCACACAACCCGACTGTGCAAACATGGAGGGGCGACCTGCGGCTCACATACACCGCATGCGGGGGTACAAAGAGGGAGAAAGAACGAGAGAGAGAGAGAGAGATATCCAGACAGCGAGAGACAGAGAGAGAGAGACCGCCATATGTTTCATCGGGGATCTTCTGACCCGGGTCAAGCCAGACCCGGGTCAGTCAGGCCTTACAGAATCCTGCAAGATCCTGCAAGATCCTGCACCCAGACCCGGGCCAATGCGAAAGATCCTGCAAAATCCTCCGGGATCCTGCAACCGAGCCCGGGTCCATGCGACCCTGGCCCTGCAGGATCCTGCAAGAGCCGGCGCTCTGGCTGACCCCCGTTTGCATTGACCCTCGTCTCGAGGCTCCCGAGTTAGGGGAACGAAAAATGACATTCATAAAAACTCGGAGGTCCGCGCGGATTTCTCGGATCGGCGCTGGACCCCCCTCCCTGGCGCGCGGAGCGCGCCAGGGGCGGCGCCTGAGGCGCCGCCAGGGGGCCCCAGCGCCGATCCGAGAAATCCGCGCGGACCTCCGAGTTTTTATGTTAATGTCATTTTTCGTTCCCCTGACACAGGGGCGAATCGGACAAGCGGATCGGCAGTGGAAACGCGCCGTGCCGGCAGGAATCAACAGGCAGGCGGCAGGAATCGGCAGGCAGGAATCGGCAGTTTTTATGTTTATGTCACTCTTTGTTCCCCTAATTGACCCCCGTCTCGAGGCTCCCGATCTTCGGACCGCGCGGCAGTGCGAGCCGCCGCAGCTCTCCTCTTCGGGCCACTGGCTTGGGCCCACCCAGGAGGAAGGCGGGCCAGGCAAGAGGAGCAGAAATCTTCGGGCCGGAGGGCGAGGTGCCGAGGAGCGAGGAAGGGAGGGGGAGAGAGGGAGGTGGGACGACAGGAGGAGGAGGAGGAGGAGGAGGAGGAGGAGAGAGAGAGGAGAGGAGAGAGGGATGGGGAGGGGAGGAGGGGGGAGGAGGGAGAGGAGGAGGGAGGAGGAGGAGGAGGAGGAGGAGGAGGAGGAGGAGGAGGAGGAGGAGGAGGAGGAGGGGAGGAGGAGGAGGAGGAGGAGGAGGAGGAGGAGGAGGGGAGGAGGAGGAGGAGGAGGAGAAGGGGGAGAGAGGAGGGGGGACGACAGGAGGGGAGGTCCTGGGCCGACAGACGGGGGGACGGGGGGGCGGGGAGGGGACCGGAGAGAGCGCACCGCTCGCACAAGGGCAGGGAAGCACGAGGGCAGGGGGGAGGAGCACAGGGGAGAAGGAAGAGGAGGGGAGGAGGAGCCGAGGGCCGAAGACGGGGCAGGAGAGGAAACGGGCCAAGAGGAGCTGCTCCTCTCCGCTTCCTCTTGGCAGTTTTCCCGCCGCGCCGGCGCACGGCTGCTCCTCAGGAGCAGCCGTGCGCCGGCGCGGCGGGAAAACTGCCGGCCTCCTCTCTGAAAGGGAAGAAGACTACACAGAGCACTGGCCGGGCAAGGAGAAGGAGGGGAGCGAGACAGAGAGAGAGAGCGAGACAGAGAGAGAGAGAGAGAACAACAACAAAAAAAAAGGGAGAGAAGGGATTGGCTGGACAGTCTTCTGCCTGGAGGCGTTCACAGCAGCAGGTGTGCCTTCTCTGGCGCTCCTGGGCATGGCAATCCTGGATTTGCAAAGGCATCGCGTGCGGCAAGTGTGGGAATCCAAGATGTCAGACTGACCTTACCTGACAAGCTATGGCTTCTGAGCTTCGCTGCCATGCTCTGAAGGTCAGACTGACCTGATCCTGACGAGCTGTAGCTTCTTAATTTTACTCCAATGTTATGACTGGCTCCTTTCTTTTGCGAATTTGGTAATTTGCACCTGTCCAGAGGCTCGTCGTTCGTTTTCTGTCTTCTTATGATTCGTATCGGTATTAGTCATATTATTACTAAGCTTGACATGATCGCTCACATTACGAATGTTTGTTATATTTTCTGTATTAGTACGACGATTCCCTACCTAGGCTCTGCCTAGAAGGGCTCTTACCCTGTATGCTTAAAGGGCCGGGCAGTTCTCCCCACCCCGGTCGGTTCCCCCAGGATCCGCCCCGCGGTTCCCCCGGCATCCGCCCCGCTTCGCTTAACTTAGCTTAGCTTAGCTCAGCTTGTCTCATCTTGGCGTAGCTTAGCCTAGCCTAGCTTAGCTTAGCTTACCTTACATTAGCTTACATTAGCTTAGTTTAGCTTAGCTTAGTAGCTTGGCTTAGCCTAGCTCAGCTTAGCTTAGCTTACCTTACCTTAGCTTACCTTAGTTTATTTAGCTTAGCTTAGCTTAGCTCAACTTATCTTAGCTTAGCTTCGCTTGTCCCAGCTTAGCTTAGATTAGCTTCGCTTAGCTTACCTTACCTTAGCTTACCTTAGCTTAGCCTAGCGTAGCTTACCCTAGCCTAGCTTAGCTTAGCTTAGCTTAGTTTAGCTTAGCTTAGCTTAGGCTTGCTTAGCTTATCTCATATTAGCTTAGCTTAGCTTTGCTTGGCTTACCTTAGCTTACCTTAGCTTACCCTAGTCTAGCTTAGCTTAGCCTAGCCTAGCCTAGCCCAGCTTGGCTTAGCTTAGCTTAGCTTAGCGTATCTCAGCTTAGCTTAGATTAGCTTAGCTTATCTTAGCTTAGCTTAGCTTAGCGTATATCATATTAGCTTAGCTTTAGCTTAGCTTTAACCCAGCTTTAGTTTAGTGTCAGCTTAGCTTTAGCTTAGCTTTAGCTGAGCTTTAGCTTAGCGGTAGCTTAGTTCTAGCTTAGCGTTAGCTTAGCTTCAGCTTAGCTTTAGCTTAGCTTTAGCTTAGCGTTAGCTTAGCGTTAGCTTAGCTTTAGCTTAGATTTAGCTTAGCTTGAGCTTAGCTGTAGCTCAGTGTTAGCTTAGATGTAGCTTAGTTGTAGGCTTAGCTTTAGGCTAGCTTGAGCTTAGAATTAGCTTAGCGTTAGCTTAGCTTTAGCTTAGCTTTAGTTTAGTGTTAGCGCAGCTGTAGCTTAGCTTTAGCTTAGCTTTAGCTTAGCTTTAGCTTAGAGTTAGCTTAGAGTTAGCTTAGCTTTACCTTAGCTTTAGCTTAGGTGTACCTTAGCTTGAGCTTAGCTTTAGCTTAGCTTTAGCTTAGCTTTGACTTAGCTTTAGCGTAGCATTAGCTTAGCGTTACCTTAGTTGTGACTTCGCTTTAGCTTAGCTTTAGCTTAGCTCCGGCTTAGCTTCAGCTTAGCTTTAGCTTATAATTACCTTAGCTTTAGCTTGGCTTTAGCTTAGCTTTAGATCAGCTTTAGCTTAGCTTTAGTTTATATTTAGCTTCGCTTTAGCTTAGCTTTACTGTTACTACTAATGATGCTTTCCTAGGGGCTCCAACTCCTAGTTAGGGTCGCACTGGGATAATGTTGTTCTCAATGTTTTCGGCAGCGCATGCATAAATGCCTTGTGGCGCTCCAGTCCCTAGCCTTCCACTCCGCCGTGAAGGCTGCGATGGCTGGAATTGTCCCTCGAGGTATGAGTTGTTGCCCGACCGCTGAGGCTATCTCTTGCCCTCCTCCCTCTTCTTCCGCTTCACCTCCCCGTGCATCTCGGGCGAATCCGTACCCGGCGTGTCCCGCCAATTGATGCCCCGCCAGACCAACCCGAAGGGAGCGCTGACACAGAAGTGGGCAAGCCAAGCTGCTCTCTTCTCTTCCGAGCCACTGGGGTCCCGAGCTTGACCCCCCCGCCAACCGCCCTTCCCCGTCCCCCCACCCCCCACACACTTCCTGCCGTCTCCCCCTCCTCTCTCCTCGGCTCCCCTCGGCTCCCCTCGGCCCCTGTTCCTCCCTCCTCCACCGTCGTCACCCCCGTATGGGGCTCGGTGTGGGCGATGGCAGAAGTGGCTGTCTGCACCACCCAGCCTCTCCCCCGAGTCTGCGAGTACACTGATGTCAGCCATACCGCAGTTCGACGACGACGGCATCACCAATCCCCCCCCCCGTTCCATGGCCCTTCCTTCCCCCACACCCGCTCTCCTACCCTTACGTCGGGCCTGTCCTCCTACAGGGAGGTTTTGGACGAATAATAAAAAATACGCAAACATACTCAAAAAAGATTCTCAAAAATACTCCAAAAATGCCCCCTGACTATTTTTTACTATCTTTGAATATCCCCAATAAAACAGGGCTAGGATCGGGATAAATCGCTCCAGAGCGTTCCGGAGCGCTCTCAGTGCGTTCCGGAACGCTCTGGAGCGGCCGCGGCGCCCAATACATCCTCCAAACCCGCCGATTCTCAGAGATTTCGAGTTATCCCGATCCGATTTTGTCCCGATCTTCGTGTCGTTTTACCCCATCAGGCCCGACTTAATCCTGCCCTTCCTTCCTCGTCTCCTCGACCGGCTGCCAGGGCGGAGGAGGAGGAAGAGGAGGAGGAGGAGGAGGAGGAGGAGGAGGAGGAAAGGGAGGAAACGGAGGAGGAGGAGGAGGAGGAGGAGGAAAGGGAGGAGGAGAAGGAGGAGGAGGAGGAGGAGGAGGAGGAGGAGTCGCCTGGTCCCACGGCAGCCGCCAGGCGGCGAAGCACCGCGGGGGGGCGTGCCTGGGCGCGACCAGCGGCGCCTGAGCGTGCGCGGCGGGCCCGGCAGCGGCGCGCCGCCAGACGGCAGGAGAGGAGGAGGAGGAGGAGGAGGAGGAGGAGGAGGAGGAGGAGGAGGAGGGAGGAGGAGGGAGGAGGAAGGAGGAAGGAGGAAGGAGGAAGGAGGAAGAAGGAGGAGGAGGAGGAGGAAAAGGAGGAGGACTTCTGGGCGCAGACGGCCGCGGGCCCAGGGGGGAGCAGCAGCGGCAGGAGAAGCATGAGCAGGAGTGCGAGCGTTGGGCATGGCTTACTGGGGGGGTCGCAAATGGGACGGGTCAGAAAGGGTCCCCTTTCGTGCCCCTTTCGGGCCCCCCCAGAGCCCCGGGGGGCTCGTTTAGGTACCGCTTGGGTACCTTTTCGAACCACCCTTGCCACCCCCCCATTTATAACCCCCCCATTACGCGGCGCCCAATGAGCGCAGGGCAGGAGTGGGACTGGGAGCAGGTGCACGAGCAGGTGCACGAGTCGGGGCTAGGAGTCGGGCCGGCCAGCTCGAGTGATTCGGCGGGCCCCGCCCAGCCCCTCCACCTCCCGTACCAGCTCCCACCCACCACCCACTGAACTAAAGACTTGCATGCATCTGTTCCAAAAATCGCGCTCCCACCTAAGACTTCCGCGCAATCTGTTCACGAATCGCGCTCTCGGCAATCTGGCCGCTCTCTCCTGAGGCTTCCTTGCCTTTCCCTCTTGCTAATCCCTCTCTTCCTCTTCTCCCTCCTTCCCTCTTGCCCCCTTCACTCCACTCTCCTTTCCCCCTATCCCCTCCTCCTCGCTGCCTCCCTTGTTCCATATTTTATGTTTTTGGTGCCAGTTTTAGCGTCTGCTCCAATCACTCGTGGCAGGGAAGGAACATATCTCCCCCAAAGGAAGCACGGTCATAGACGAAGAGGGCGGGTGCCGAGGGCTTGGGGTACACATGTTGGACGACACGCGACCAGCGAAGAACGAGCAGTAAAATGACGTTTGCTGTGGAACTCACTTCTGAAGAATCCTCACTGCACCTGGTAGATGTTTTCCATTGACGTACCCTTCCCAGGGCCTGGCCCCCCGCTTACATCAACAGCAACAACAACAGCAGCAGCAACAACACTGATTGAAGACTGTTCGCTCGTACCTGCTCGCGCGCCATTCAACACGTGTATCCCGAACCCTCGGTACCCGGTACCCGCCCTCTTCGTCTTCGATCGTACCCCCATGGGGGTATATCTTCCTTACCTGCCGCGTGCAATTGGTGCAGCCCCTGAAACCAGGGAAAAATGGACGGATGGAAGGCGGAGAGAGAAGGATGCAGCACGGCATTAGCAGAAGGGGGGCTAGGAGCAGAAAACACGTGGCAGAACCAGACGGGCCCATCGGGCGGGTAGACCCTAACGGGAGGGTCGGAAAGGCGGGCCCAAGCGGACAGGTCGAGAAGGCGTGTTGCTGAAGCATGAGTACTGCGTGAATCGCGAGGGGAGCTCCAGCGATAGCGCGATTCCTAAGTAAATCGTGCGAGAGGCCCAAACGAGAGCGCCATTCCTAAGTGTCAAGGGCGCGACGTCTGAATAAATTGCGAGGAGGTCTCACGCAAGAGAGTTTTTTCCTGTCTAACTTGTGAGGATGCCCAGCGCGAGAGCTCGATTTCGACATAAGTTGCGAAAGTATACCAGGCGGGAGCCGTTGTTGTTGTAGTCCGGGGTCCAAAGACGCAGCTTGGTGATACCAAGTGACCCCCTTGTGAAAAAGAAAATGCGGGCCCCGAGGGGGACACTTCAATTGAACCATACAATGGTTACCGGAGGGGGGGATGAACAATACTTTTGCTGTAGAACTGAAACTCAGCACCCAAAAGTATAATACTAAGACTGATAAGGATATCAGCAACATTTACAACAGCTGCACCAACAAACAACCAAACAGACAAACCAACAAATACATAAACAAACACCAGCAACAACATCATCACCAACAACAGCAACAGCAACAACAATATTAAGACGATTCGCTCTTGTCTGGTCGCGTGCCATTCAACGCGTGTATCCCAAACCCTCGAGGCACGCCCTCTTCGTCTTCGATCGTACCCCCTTGGGAGTATATCCCTCTCACCTGCAACGCGTATGTCGTGCAGCCCCTAAGGCAAGGGAAGAGAGGACTGATGGAAGGAAGGGACAAGGGGGAGGGAGGAGGATGGAGCACGAGAAACAGTAGCAGGAGAGGGGGCTAGAAGCAGAAAACACGTGGCAGAACCACACGGGCAAATCGGGCGGGTAGACCCTAACAGGCGGGTCGGGAAGGCGGGCCCAGGCGGCCAGGGCGAGCAGGCGGATTGCTGAATCGTGCGTCCTGCACGAATCGCGAGGAAGTCTCGAACGACAGCGCGATTCCCAAATAAATCTTTCGGAAATCCACAGCGAAAGCGGAATGCCTAAGTGTCGAGGGCGCGGCGTCTGAATAAATTGCGGGGAAGTCCCACGCGAGAGCGCGACTTCCGAATAAACTGTGAGGAAATCCCGCGCGACAGCGCGATTTGGGAATACATCGTGAAGAAATTTCAAGCGGGAGCCGCTGCTGTTGTAAACTGGGGGCCAACAACACAATTTGGTGACACCTCGCTTTCCGTTGCAAAAAAAGGGCGCGAGCCCCGTAAGTCTTGCACCGCGCTCCCTACGCGGTGGCCGAGAGGTCGCCAGGGTCCCCGACCTTTGAGAGGCTGGAGGCTTGAAGCGGCTCGCTCGGCGTCATTGTCTGAATGCTAGGAGGGCTGCGTGCCGTTGCTTACCCCTGCCACCGCTTACTCCCCCTCCCCGGCATGTTGTCGCTCCAAGCCTCCGCCGCTCTCGGTAAACTTGTACGCTCTTTTAGCACCGCAGGACATTATCACAACATGCACTGGCTGCCACAGCTTTCCAATGCCTCATGCGCTGTCCTAGGTCCCATGCCCAGGCATCGTCCCTGCGGATACTTCCATGCTCGGTGCTAGGCTTTCCGGATTTGCTCGCCATCGGTTCAGTGCAGTTGAGTGAAGCCTTTCCGACAAATCAAGGCGTCCGCGCTCATGCCACCGTTCCACCAGTTTTTTAATACCTTTACGACCACCCTTCGGGTGATAAGGATGTTGTTGCGGGGGGGGAGAGGGGGGGGAACCAACATCTGACTCAATCGATCTCACTATCGATCTCACACAACGGGACACCACGGGACACCACGAGACACCGCGGGGCACTTGTCGATCTCACTATCGATCTCACTCAACGGGACACCACGGGACACCACGGGCCACCACGGGACACCACGGGACACCGCGGGACACCTCTCGATCTCACTATCGGTCTCACTATCGATCTCACTATCGATCACACTCAACAGGACACCATAGGACACCACGGGGCACCACGGGACACCTCGGGACACCACACCGATCTCACTATCGATCTCACTATCGCTCTCACCCAATGGGACACCACGGGACACCACGGGACACCACGGGACATCTGTCGATCTCACTATCGATCTCACTTTTTGGGACACCACGGGACACCACGGGGCACCGCCCCGATCTCACTATCGATCTCACTATCGATCTCACTCAACGGGACACCACGGGCCAACACGGGACACCTGTCGATCCCACGATCGATCTCACTATCGATCTCACTTTTGGGGACACCACGGGACACCACGGGCCACCTCGGGGCACCACATCGATCGCAGTATCGATCTCACTATCGATCTCACTCCAAGGGACACCACGGAACACCACGGGACACCACGGGACACCACGGGACACCGCGGGACACCGCGAGCCACCGCCAAACGGACGGACGGACGGGCGGGCGGGGGAGAATCATTTGTCTTGACTTCGCCCTAGCAGCGGCGGACATCACGGGACACCACGGGACACCGCGGGACACCGCGGGACACCGCGAGCCACCGCCGGACGGGCGGGCGGAGGAGAATCAGTTGTCTTGACTTCAAACTAGAAACGGCGGACACCACGGGACACCACGGGACACCGCGGGACACCGCGAGCCACCGCCGGACGGGCGAGCGGAGGAGAATCAGTTGTCCTGACTTCGCCCTAGGAACGGCGGGTTCAGTCCTCTCGCACGCCCACGCAGCTTCGCCTAGCCCGCACGCATGACACGAACGAAACGAAACGATTTCCCGATTGGGGGTCTCCGTTCCACTGCGATCTCACCCCCCAACCTCCGATCCCTTCCTTCTCGCCCCTTCCCCTTTTCCATAGTTCTGTGCATCCTGTTCTACGGCATGCATGACTTGCACGTGGCAGCGAAGGAAGAGATTCCCCAAAAGAAATACGATCAATGACGAGCAACCCGGGAATCGAGGGCTTGGGGGATACATGTTGAATCACACGCGAGCAAATAATAACGATACTTAAGTATTAAAACTAGCGTTGTAGTCCTAATGTTTGAATTCTCTTCTCTGAAGAATAAGCGTTGTTCGACCCCCCTGTGCCCGTTGTTTTTAATGTGAGTGCTTCTCCCGGGCGGGGTTCGTACCTCGCTTTGTTGAAAGAAAAAATGCGCCTCAGATTGGCTGGTTGGCCCCCAGTTTTCCACAACAGCAGTTCCCGCCCGATACTTCCTCACAGTGTATTTTTAATCGCGCTCCCGCGCTAGACTTCCTCAGAATGCATGCAGGAATCGCGCTCTCGCGTGGTAGTTCCTCGCAGTTTATGCAGACGCCGCGCCCGCGACACTCGGGAATGTCTCACGAATTTTCTGGGGGAATCGCGCTATCCCTTGGGACGCGTTCGCGATCCATGAGGACTCACGTTTCAACAACCCGCCTGCTCGACCTGGCCGCCTGGGTCCGCCTTCCCGACCCACTGGTCATGGTCTACCCGCCCCGTTTTTATCGTCTGGTTCTGCCACATGTTTTCTGCATCTAGCCCCTCCCTATCTTGCCTGCTCTCTCTCTCTCTCTCTCTCTCTCCCTCTCTCGTGTTTCATCATTATTATTCCCCCCTGTCCCCTCACTC